TCCGGAGGCTGAGTTAGGAGGACTGCCTGAGTTGGGAGGGAGAGGTTGCAGTGAGCCAAGTTTGTGCCACTGCACTCCAACCTGAGTAACACAGCTAGACCTTGTCTCAGAAAACAACAACAGCAGCAGCAACAACAAAACCCATCTAGTTAAAGTTCCCTGGACACTAAGACCACATATTGTGTGATTCCATTGATATGAAATATCAAAAATTGGTAAATCCATAGAGACAAAAGGCAAACTGGTGGTTCCTGGGGGTGGCGAGAAGGGAGAATGGGATGTGACTGCTTAGTGGGACCAGGTTTCCTTTCCAGGGGATGACAGTGTTTTGGAAGTAGGTGGGGTTTGGATGGTACATTGTACACTGTAAATGAACTACATACCACTGAATTGTACACTTTAAAGTGGTTAATTGTATGTTATGTGAATTTTACATCCATTTTATTTTTATTTTTAAAAATGTAAACAATTAAAATTTTAAATTTTTATTTATTTAATACTTCGGAGACAGCATCTCTCCTGCTGTGTTGCCTACGCTAAAGTGCAGTTGCATGACCATGGGCACTACCATCTTGAACTCCAGGGCTCAGGCCGTCTCCCAGTCTCCCGAATGCTGGGACTACAGGTGCACACCACTGTGTCTGGCTCATTGTTTTTGTTTTGTTTTGCTTTGAGATGGAGTTTTGCTCTTGTTGCCCAGGCTGGAGTGCAATGGCATGATCTCGGCTCACTGCAACCTCCGCCTCCTGGGTCCAAGCGATTCTCCTGCCTCAGCCTCCTGAGTAGCTGGGATTACAGGCATCTGCCACCATGCCTGGCTAATTTTGTATTTTTAGTAGAGACGGGGTTTCCCCATGTTGGTCAGGCTGGTCTCGAACTCCTGGCCTCAGGTGATCTGCCGCACCCGGCTTACCTGGCTAATTTTTATTTTTTTGGTAGAGATGGGGTCTCACTATGTTGCCTAGGCTGGTTTCAAGTGATCATCTGGCCTAGGGTTCCCAAAGTGCTGGGATTACAGGTGTGAGCCACTGCACTTGGACCCTGAAAACCTGCTATGCTGACACGTTACATAAAAATAAAGGCAAAGCCACTAAGAAATATTAGATAGACAGAAAGATAGACGGACAGACAGATAGTAGGGGAGAAAATTACTTACTGGCTTTCTGGTCTGCTTAGGGTAGAACTACTGTTCAGTTTTGTGTCTTTCTGTTTAGGCTAACTAGCAATATCTCTTGTAACATCTGATTAATTAGCATATTCATGAGTAGGGATCTATTCAGAGCCCCCCTTACCATCTGTTAAATGTAAATGGTAGGATACCACAATCCATGCATAAATGCTTACTAAATACCTCCCTGTGCTGGGTCTGGGCTACCAAGGCAATAGGGCACAGACTTTGTCTCTAGGAGTACTAGGGAGCACAGTGGGTTACTTCTCTACTGTAAGATGGGCTGGGAGTTTAAATGGCTTCCTTTCTACAGGGGGTGGTAAAGAAAACCTGCACTTCGTAGAGACAGGCCTGTAGTCAACTCCCAATTCCATCTCTTTTTTTTTTTTTAGATAGAGTCTCACTCTGTCACTCAGTCTGGAGTGCAGTGGCACCATCTCAGCTCCCGGAAACCTCTGCCTTCTGGGTTCAAGAGATTCTGGTGCCTTAGCCTCCCAAGTAGCTGGGATTACAGGCACATCACCATGCCCCGCTAATTTTTGTATTTTTAGTAGAGATTACTTCAACATGTTGGTCAGGCTGGTCTCAAACTCCTGGCCTCAAGTGATCCACCTACCTTGGCCTCCCAAAGTGCTGGGATTACAGGCATTGGCCACTATGCCCAGTCCCAATTCTACCTCTTTCTTAACTTGTGACTTAACCATTCTGGGTCTCTTTTTCCTAACCAGTAAAATGAGGACGACATCTGCTCAATGGGCTAAGTAAGACAGTAAGTGTAACGTCCCTAAGCAGGGTGTCCGCTGTAGTCAGTGTTCTGTAGAGACTAGCTGTTTTTAATTAAACATGAATGTGGGAGGTATGGGATATGGGGAGGGCATTCTGGACAGAGGGAGTGGCATGCAGACAGAAGCCAGAGAAAGCATAGCTCTGTGAAGGGAGGATCTAGAGGATGGGGCTGGGTGAACTGGAGGGTGAGTAATAGGAGGTGGCTGGAGAGAGGCTGAGAACCCTCTTGCAAGGGGAGAAACACTCCATTCCATGCCATGGAATTGGGTTTGACTCTGTAGGTAGGAGGGCAGCAAGTGGAATTGTCCACCGAGTCCTCTCTGTCATAGTGTCATAGTTACCACCAGTTATTCTTGAACACTTTAACCCTCTAAAGCCTTATAAAATTCATAAACACCACCTTTTATTCTTGGATGTTGCCCCCCCTCCCCCCTTTTGAGACAGAGTCTCACTCTGTTGCCCAGGCTGGACTGCAATGGCACAATCTTGGCTCACTGCAACCTCTGCCTCCTGGGTTCAAGCGATTCTCCTGCCTCAGCCTCCCGAGTAGCTAGGATTACAGGTGTGTGCCACCACGCTCGGCTAATTTTTTGTTGTTGTATTTTTAGTGGAGATGGGGTTTCACTGTATTAGCCAGGATAGTCTTTATCTCCTGACCTTGTGATCCGCCTGCCTCGGCCTCCCAAAGCGCTGGGATTAGAGGCGTGTGCCACTGCACCCAGCCAGGACATTGGCCCTTTTAATGATCATGTGTCCTCTCACTTAAATTGTCTGGACAAAGGAATGTAAACTGGTTCATAAATTGACAAATTTCTCAACAACTATCTGCTGAGTGAACATTTGTTTCAGTCACCATGGGGATAAATAAAACTTTATCATCTTAGCTGGGAAAATGAGACACACACACAAAGTGACAAGGCAGGAAATGCCAAAAAGAGTGGGAACAGAAAGTTGGAAAAGTGCTTTGGCAAAGCTCAGCTTGGTGGGCAGGGTTAGTCCTGGGAGGGCTTCACAGCCCCTCTTGGCACACAGAGCTGGAAATCCTGGGCAATAAACTATCACAGCAGTGGCTATCAAGGATGGAAGACACTCACAGTCCCAGCACCACTACTTTATGACAGACAATGTTCAGAACTGCCAGTGCATGGTGGTAATAAAAAGTAAACCTATCTCTGGTTGATTTTATTAGTCATTTTAAATTTTCTAAAGACAAAGCCCCAGGATGGGTGGACAGACCCCACCCCACGACCACTGTCTCTTGAGTGTTAGTTTCAGAATCAGCAAAAGGGGATTAATACCCACCTTAACAAGGTGTTTTGACAAGGTGAAATGAGACAATCTAAGTGAAAATTCCTTCTGGCCCAGGGAATATTGCACATAGCAAGTGCTCCTTTTCTGTCATACTCCTTTCTTCTTTCTCTCCCAAAGTGGTTCCAGAATTCAGTGCTGATAAACTAGCCAAGTTCGTCCACCTGCCTTTCTGTCTACACCAGCGCTGTCCATATTAACATGCACCACTCCTGCCATGAGGACGTAAGAAGCATGGTAGAAACCAGCACCCTTTAATTTCACTACCCAATGAGGCAACACACCTTGCTGGGAGGTGACTGTGGGAAACGGTGGCTACAATGGATGCAGCATTTCTATAAGCCCTGTTCTCCACTCCACTAACCAAATCTCAAACAAAACACTGTATTCTCAAGAGCTTGTCCCAAAACTAAATCGAGCAAATTACACAATGGAATGTGAAATCACGTAGCATCGCACACAATTTTTCAGGAGTTCTCAGTGTTCTTACAAACACACTCGGCAACAATGCTCACTAATTTACAGGCAGGCAGCCTAGTGACTGTTAAAACACTGGGCCCCTGTCTGGAGCTCTTAGTTTTCCCAAAAGCATCTCAAAACACTGTGAACAAAGACAGGAGAGAACATGCTATGTCTTTGTCACCTCTTAATCTTGATATTGTCTACACGTTTTGTGAGTGTGGGAGTAACAGAGTGCACATTCTTTCAGCGATAACAAGAAAACCCTCTACAACTTCTGCGTGGAAAAACAAATGGCTCAAAGCTTATAAAATACTACTGTTATTAGGAAATTCAAAATCACTTTTCTCACTTCCCAATTAGTCCTTTACAGGCTAAAAACAACTCATCTGCCCTGCTTTTGGAGACAGGGGTATAGAAAATATTTGACCAAATAAATTAATCAAATTTATTTATTTGGTCAAGTAACCAGATACTTAAAAATAGACTACTAGTGGGGAAAATATTCTACATGAGCAATCTTCTCCCTGCAGCGGATCAGAAATCGCATTAAGAAATACTGGGATCCCACAGTGTTCCAGGGAGCCCGGTCCTGGGGAGGGATCTCTTTCTGCAACTCACTTATAAGGAATGGGTTCTATTTAACAACGAAATCCTCCCCACTCCCGCCCCCTCCTCTACCACGCGGAGCGTCTGCTATTGTCACCATATATCTCGCACTGTGAGCAACTCCTGGACACAAGGCCGGGCCGGGGGCTGCCGGTACTGATTCTCTGCTAAACGTGCCATAAGACTGCCTGGGCTTTTCTCTTCATCACTTTTCTAGCCTGTAAAATGTGCAAGGAAAAAAAAATTCCAACAAAGCAAAACTTCAGCGGCAGCAGTTCTCCACTTTATATTGAAAAGATCGGAATGTTTATTGGTGGAGCAACGTGAGATCTTTTCTTTTAGGGGTGGTCCTGGGAGAAAGAGGCTACACAATGATAACAAGTGCAGCGCGGGACTGCAGGCTCCCCCAGGAGGCTTCCGCTCCATCCTCCTCGGTATCCAACACCCTGTGGCAGGCGAGCCGCATCCTCCAAGACCGAGTCCAATGGGGCCCCCGAAGGGGGTGGCACGCCCCACCTAAACGTAACTGGGGAAAACTCTAGATCTTAGCCCAAATGCCAGTTTGGCTTTCGGTGGAAACTGAGACGGGGTGAGAAGGCGCAACTGGGATCCCCGCTGTCTCCCCTCGGCGTCCCACCGCCCGCGCGCCCCATTTCCGTGCAGCACTCACCTGGCCTGCGGGCCCGGGTGCGGGCGGAGGACAGCGGGCCGCACAGACTGAGGCCGGCGGCCACCATCAGCAGCAGCCGCCGCGGCCCCATTGTCCCGCACTGGGCGCGGCCCTGCTCCAGGAGGCTACCCCGCCTCGGGCGGCTCGGCTCTACCCTTTCTCCTGACTTCTGCGAGTCAGGCAGCCGGTTGGCGCGGCGGGCAGAGCGCGGGCTGCCCGCGAGCAAGGTCAGGGTCCCAGCTCCCCTCCGCGAGCGCTGTGTCGGGGGCGGGACGCGGGGCGGGGCGGGACCGGTGCGCGCGGGCGCGCCGGGAAGAGCGGGGAACAGCGCCCCCCGGCGGGCAGTGCGAGTCTCGACGCGGCCGCCGCTCGCCGCCCCCTCCCCGCGGTCCCTCCGCCGTCGGCCGCCAGCCCCTCTAGCTCTGTGCGCGCCGCCCCGCCCGGGGGCCCTGGCCGCCGGCCACCGCCCGGCCGGGGAGTCCAAATGAGACGTTTTTTCCTCTGGGTGCCGTTGACCCGCGAAGCTGTCAGTGACTCAGACTGGCGGGGTCCTTGGAACGGGGCCGCGCGGCTCGCCGGCTGCTCCCTGCGGCCGTCTCGACCCTCCTGGGATGTGGAGACGTCGACAGTGGACGCCCCGGCCAGGATGCGTCCGCGCCGCGCAGCCCCCGCAGTCCCGAGTGGCCTCCCTTCCTCACTCCCTGCATGCGGGGCGCTGGCAAAGTTCGTTTTTCGCTGAAAGTCTGCAAGGGATTTCTGCTTTTGTGACGTGGGGATCGTGGATTTAAGTTTATGCGGTAGTGTTGCCCCTAAGTGAGAAAGGGCCCTTGGGTTTGGACAGAATTCTTGTTTTATGCGTCTCTCTTTATTTCGCGAAGTTGAGCGTTGCATACGCCGGGCACTCCTTTCCCCGACACGCAGACTGCGAGTGTAATAGGAAGAGCGGCTTCTCCCGCATCCTCGCCGTGTGGCCTTGCCGAGCTCTTCCCTCTCCCGCGCCGCCCGCCCGGGTCACCTGCGCAGCTGGGGCGGAGGGCGCGCGTCTGCAGGTGAGGCCAGCGTTCTCGGGCCGCGAGCGCCCAAGAGCGAAGTGGCCTGGTAACTTTGCAAGTGTCCTTCACAGGTTCTTGGACGGTATTAGTTTGTTTTTGAGGCAGGATCTTGCTCTGTCGCCCAGGCTGGAGTGCAGCGGCGCCAACACGGCTCACTGCGGCCTTGATCTCCCGGGCTCAGGGTACCCCTTCGCCCCAGCTTCCGGATTAGTTGGGACCACAGAAAGGCGCGCGCCTCTAAATCCGGCTAATTTCACGCCTGGCCTCAAGCTATCCTCCCGCGTCAGCCTCCGAAAGTGCTGGGGTTACAGGCGTGAGCCACCGCGCGGGGCCTGATATGACAGGAGTTTGGCTAAATTCAAGACACAGGGCGGGGACACTCGCCCGGTAGTCTGCTAAGTGGACGTTACGGCCGGGGTGGGCAGGAGGAGCCTGCAGCTTAATTTGCTTTGCCAGCGGCTCCAGTGGGCATGCCTTTCAGACGCCCGGAGGAAATGTGTCTTCCGATAGCTGTTTCTAGGAAAGCTCAGCCGCAGCCCCTTCTTTCCACCCAGAGCGCTGATGAGCGGGCGAATTTGGAGTTCTGTGGTTGATGAGCTGCAGCTGAAGTCAATGGTCAGGTTTTCAGTCCTTTTTAAAAAGTGAATTTTGCATGAAGAATAGTATCATTCCCCCACTAGAGCCCTGACACAGTCGTGGAGAAAGTACGATCAGAGATTTTGTTCTTCCCTATATTCTCCCATCATCCTTGCAGCACAGTAAGTACCTTGTTGTACACAGAAGTTGCTCACTAAATTACGGAAGTACCCAGTTAACACTATTTAAAATCTGTCCTAATTCTATTCTCCTCTGGAAGCATTCCCAAGAGTAAATGTGAACCGTTAAAATTACATAGCTTTTCATTCACTATTAAACTATTTTTCATTACTCCTAAGACGCCATTGATCTTACAATTCATCATTTTAACCCATGTACCACAAGCAAGAAAAAAATGTGACACACCAATGACTGTAAGAAGCACTCAATTTCAGGGTTGTTTATGAAAAAAAGGCATTTTAGAATCAATAAAACAGCGTAAAATATAAATACATGACAAAATTTCCGATAGTTGTAAGACATGAAAAGTAAATTACCTGCTGCCTTTTCTCTGTTGTTGACATCTGACCACTAAGTTTCTTTTATTTTCTCCCTCTCTCCCTCTCTCTCTCTCTCTTCTCTCTCTCTCCTTTCTTTCTTTTCTTTTCCTTTTCTTTCTTCTTTCTTTTCTTTTTTTTTTCTGAAGCGGAGTTAAACTCTTGGTGCCCAGGCTGGAGTACAATGGCGATATCTCGCGCAGTCTCAGCTCACTGCAAACTTCGACTCGAGTTCAAGCGATTCTTTTGCCTCAGCCTCCCCAGTAGCTGGGATTACAGGTGCCCACAACCAACCCCGGCTAAATTTTTGTGTTTTTAGTAGACAGGGTTTCACCGTATTGACCAGGCCGGTCTCAAACTCCTGACCTCAGGTGATCCACCCAACTCGGCCTCCCAAAATGCTGGGATTACAGGCGTGAGCCACCACGTCCTGCCACCTGACCACTAAGTTTCTGTCCACCATTGAAGAAATCATATCCACATAATATGTATATTCTTAAAATAATAATGAAATACTATGACCACACTTTAAAATTTTATCTGTGTTATTGGTGGAAAATGTTATTTTTAACCATTTTACAAAACTATAAAGTTTAAAAAGATGCTTTGGGGTGTAGTTATTAGAACAAAATGTACTTCTGGTGACAAAAAGAGGTACAATGAAGGCTGGGTGTGGTAGCTCATTCCTGTAATCCCAGCACTTTGGGAAACCCAGTGGGCGGATCACTTGAACTCAGGAGTTCGAGACCAGCATAGCCAACAAGATGAAAACCCATCTCTACTAAAAATACAAAAAGTAGCCGGGCGTGGTGGTGTGCACTTGTAATTCCAGCTACTCGGGAGGCTGAAGCAGAATTACTTGAACTGGGGAGGCAGAGGTTGCAGTGAGCTGAGTTTCTGCCGCTGTACTCCAGTCAGAGCAACAGAGCAAGACTCTTTCTCAAAAAGCAAAAACAAAAGAGGTACAATGAAATGAAACAATGAAATGCTTAAATTCTTTGTGCATATTGACTAAAGGATTCCTTCTAGGAATATTTATACCAGTTGTATTTTTTGAAGCTTGTTTAGTACCTGTTTATGTAATTCTTTTAAACATACTATTTCCTTGTATACATATAGTACATTTTAGTCTTCTAAAACTATTTTATCTGTAGTATTGTCCCCATTTATATTCCTAACATCGCTAATTTTTTGGGTTTATTTTCCCCCTTTATCTGACCAGAGGTCAGAAGTGACTATTTTTCAATGCCCAATTTTTTGTTCTGGTACTTTTATTGTTTATTTGTAAACACAGATCTTTCATTCATTCTTTTCTTCTACCTTCTTTGAGTTTACTCTTTAGTATAATTTATTTAACTGATTATTTTTCACCTCTTCTCCTTCAAAAGACCACTCAGTTATATTTGCAAGTTTTGATATGTGCGTATATGAAATTCAGGTCTAAATATTTTGTCAATTTCATTCAATCTTCAACCATAAATTCTTGGATATTTTGACTAGCTTTTTGTGACTGATTTCTAATTTTATGGTCTGTTAGTGATGTTGTTTTCTGTTTTATCCTCAGACTTTACATAGTTCCTATGTTTATGTGCTCTTAAGAGCTTTTTGAAGAAGATAATCCACTACTTCATTTGTTCCACGCCACTCATGCCAAAACCCCTTTGTCAGTTTTAGAGCAAATATGTGTCAGTTCCCCAGACTACCTAACTGGAGATGATAAACATGTTCAAAATCTGCCTATCAAGAGTTGCTAAAAATATTTCTCAGAAATGAAATCTCAGCTTTGCAGCTTCATTCATATTGGAACCACTTGATGTTAATTTCCAATTTTCATTTTCTCTGTTTTAACTTTCCTGGTACCAAATAGTGTGAGTCATTAGCCATCCTGCCATAATGTTTATGGTATTTAGTAGCGTTTTCAAACAAATGTGGCATCAACATGGTAAACATTTTAGCAATTAGATGATAAGAAAGCAGTTTCATGTAAGCTGTTAGATGATCTGCCTCCTTCAGGTATTCTGGTTACCACTCTTCTATTTGAAGTGCTCCAAAGACAATAGTATATTCTAAGAATTTGCACAGTAATTTCCTTTTGGAAGCTAATGGTGGGGATACCAGAGCTCATATGAAACTATTCAAAGTAGGTTGAAGCACTACAAGATTCTGTGTATATATTGCCATATTTGTTTTTTTTAAGCAAAGAGAAGGTTTGTAATCAGGTTACAAACTAACCAACACAAGAACTGTTTCTGTCTTTCATTGTTACAAACCTGTATTGTCAGTTTCAATTTAGAAGTTAATATCTCATAATGGATCAACAACTATATTTCCATCATAGATAGAATGGTAGGCTATCCCTATGGTTTAGGATGCTAAGCAAAGGTCAAATTCAGTATTTATTAAAAGACAACAAAAACCAAAAGCTTTTATTCCAGTTAAGGTGAACACATTATCTCCTAGTTCTCCCTCATCACTGATTTCCTTTTCAACGTTATTTTAGCTAAAAGATTTTATACTCTAAGAAAGACAGTGAGGCAACCTAGTAAATCTGAACAGGATACTTTATTTGGAGATTGAATTGAGAGGATACTCACTTTTAGACTGAGATAATCAGTAAAAGCCCTATTCATATGAGCACCAACCTAAAGTAATAGTGAACTCTTGAGGGGCAGTGAGGTGATCGGGTCTGTCTGCTTTTCAGTCCATTGCTAGAACCCATGTCTGCACCTGTCATTTATTTACAAATCATTGCCAGCCTCCGGATTTAGAGTCACTGAAACACAGCTTCTGTCCTCTGAAGCTTAGGGGGCCTCTATGGTAACCCGTTACCAGGTTTGGTTTTAGTAACATTGGCAATAGATTTTTCAAAAAGCTAGCCAGCAGTAAGAACATCTAGGGCTCACTATAATTTTTCAAAATAAAGACAGCTTCCACCATTCAGTTCTGTGGTTTGCCTCTTGGAATGTTTGAGGAATACTACAAATCCCTACTTAATGACAAAGTCATAAAAATCACATGATGAATAGTATCTCTAATTTGTGCCCAACCACACACAAACACCAACATATAATTATAGTTTGGATCATTCATATCAGACAACTGTCACATCAAGCTGGTCTTTCTTCAACACTAACTTCCAGATTAAAGCATAGACATGTTTTCCC